CCCCAAAACCCCAAAACCCCAAAACCCCAAAACCCCGAGAGATATTATTTTAATTGAAAATATAGCAATGAAGGAGGACCAGAATAAGAATTTTAAATTCTGGGATTTCAGACCTTATTATGAACAAGACATAGATCCAGACGATTGTGATCTTGAAGACTCTGATTTAGATAATATAGAAACTTTTGACGCCACAATTGGAGTTTGGAAAGATAAATCATGGAAGTCCCCTTCTAAACTTTGTCATAAGTTTACAGTATGAAATCAACCCTCCCCATGTGATGTTGAGCAAGGATATCTTGATAATTGCTACTTAATAGCTCTTTTGAAGAGCTTAGCAAAATATCGTCCAGATCTTATCGAGGATCTAATAATTACAAAGAAGGAACACCAGGATGGCCTATTTGAAGTTTGCTTGTACGATCACGGTCAGAAGAAATAAATTCATACTTTCTGATCTGGTCCCTTTCAATGTAGAGAATCAGTGCCCCTTAGGAGCTCAAAAGATAACCAGAAATATCTGGCCGCTCCTTTTAGAAAAAGCATATGCAATATATAACCAGGGATATGATGGTACATTATTTTTCTCTAATAAACCTTCCTGTTTTAAAGGATAGTGTTAAATTTGTCTTCATTTTATCCAGACCTTAAACAGCACTAACTCCTCTCTCTAGCTATACAAAGAAGTTCTTCCTTAATCGCAATGAGTATTCTGACCCAAGGAGGGGCAAAAAGGATATATGTAAAGAAGGCTTATGACAAAAATCCCTCGTCAGAAAATCGTCAAATTTTAATTTAAACAGATAGACTAAAGCTTAAACTCAAACAACCTTCTAACTTGCACCTCAATAGAAAAACTAGAGAATGACAAACTCAGAAGTTATTACATTTTCCTCTAAATTATAGGTAAAATCAGCCAGAACCATGTATATTGCATCTTTGGCCTAAGGTCAGTCGGGGAGAAGTACTACATCTTCCTGTCAGATCCTAGAGGAACATCAGGAAGGAAGTTCACAGATAAGGAAAAGGATTACAACGCATTAATAGGTATTAGAGATGAGTCTGAATTACTGATTCCAATGAAAATCAAGCTGTTCCTAAAATGCTTCAGGTCGGTAACTACCTGTGAATTTCCTCCCGAGTCATTCCAGAAGAGACTCCTTGATCTGCAAGGCTCTCGAGAGTATTCCCTGTTCAGAATAGACTGAAAGACAAAGTCTGAATTTTGGATTAATATTTACCAAAATGAGCTACAGAGAGATCACAGCGAAGAGTTAATGCCACATACTCAGACTGAACGAAAGTCTGAGATAGAAAACACCAGAATCATTATCTGCGAGTCTACAGGAACACCAAAGGAGACAGAGCCTGCTTTTAAACATATTGGAGGCTGATTTTAGTCAAGAAAGGAATGTATTCCATAAAATAGAATTAAAAGCTAAAACTTATTACATTTATATACAAATAGATGCTCCTGAAGGAACCATAAGAGATGATATAGTTAATAAGGTATTCTAGAGAAGAATAGGGATATTATACAATTTTGAGGAAGATTATGATACCAAGCATCCTTGATTCTTCCTCTTAACTAGTATCAGTAGAGTGTGATAAATTTATCACAGAGATTGTCAAATTAACACACATTTTTAAATTGTTGTTTATAGGGTTCCCGATGTCTTTTAATAGGCGAGCAATTTGAGGCCACAAAAGTTGCTTTTTCCCAAAAGAAGTTCTTATCTTGAGTGCTTGAAGATTTGAGTTGAAAATAAAACAATTCTCATGACAAAAGATTTGACTAGTTCCAAGATAAAACCTTCAAATAGCCTTGGATGATTTGGCTGCAAGATCCTTGAACCAGATTCTACTGATGCCAAATAAGCTAAAAATCATAGTTTGGAAAAAGAAAGCATACTACACCTGCAAATTCAAAAAAGACCATAAAAACCATGAATATTGTGAATACATCAAACACCCTCCTCAAAGGCCCAAAAGGGCAAAAACCAGGCCCTATCTCCCCAAAAAGCCACTAAAAAGAGATCACAGTAGTTTCTAACACCCCTTTCAATCCTCCCTCCCTACACCGGGGTTTTGGGGTTTTGGGGTTTTGGGG